TGTTTTAAGAATCTTTCTTCGTTGGCGGCGTGGTTGGTGAGATGGTAGTAAGCCCCTTGTAGTTCTTGTGTCAAGAGATACGTCGCTCGTCGAGTTCTTGTGGGCAACTGGGCGCTAAATGTAAGGGTATCTCCCCGCGCCGTTTGGGTTTGAACAGACGGGGTAGTTGAGCCTCATATGACACCTATGTGAAGATGAACTACTCCGCCTCTTCGAAATATATATAGAACCATCCCAACTCTGATCTTGGTTTTCTCATGAGATAGTTATATTTATAGCAGGGGAGCGTCCACTACCAAGAGAACCCTTTCCCAATCCTTCTGAATTGTGCGTGGTGTGGTTGGCTGCAAGGAAGATCTGTATCAGGTTCTCTTTCGTGGTCAAGTTGAAGTACCAGCACGAGGATTGGGGATTTTGCAAGAAGCCACTTGAGGAAAGGTCCCTCCCTGTTCACTAGGAGTTGGCAGATCTGGACCATTCTGATACGCATCCTAAATATGTGCCAGGCCTCTATCGGATCGGGTTTGGAGCAGATGTTTGATATCCATGGTTTATACCCAACTTTACCTTCTCTTCGGGCTCGTCGGCTCTTGTGCTTCAATTTGTCCCTGGCGCTGGTATTGGGACGGCCTTTGAGATATAGTAGGGATTCGGCGTCTACGTACCCATCTTCCTGAGCCACAGTAGCGTGGCCCTTATCAACCTGGCTAGAACTGTTCGCGTTGTTAGAAGAGGTGGCTACTTTATTGCTGTAAGGAGAATTGGGGGTGTTTGTGAGCCACTCTGGGTCGGTGATGGAACATGGTTGCTGAATTTACTGCAACTCTATCTTGTTTCTTTCATCTGGCGGTACATTTATATGATAGTTGCGAAGGCTCTGTAAATCCTCAATGTGATCTGAAGGGTTAGCTACGTCAAAATGGAAAAGGTCCGGCGAGCTTACTTTATCAGGCGATGTAACAACCGGTTTCTCAACATTTTCTATACCTATAGGAAGCGCTTCTGGAAAGTCCTGTGTAAACATGCAAGTTTGTATATATTTTGAGTATTGCAATTCAAATTGTCCTGCTTGCCGGGAAACTGGTTCGCCGCTCTTTATCATCCTTACGGGCATCTGCTAGCTCGTGTCCGATCAGCACGGTTTGTTGCGATCGATGTAGCGCTCGATTTGGCCGAGCATTATCATCTGAGATATCACCAGATTGTCGATAGAGTGCTGGAGTACCGCTCTGAGGTTATACTTGGAGTTCAAGGTTGTCTATTTGTTTTCCCAGTCATCTGGTCGTTTTATTGCTTTTGCAACTCGCCAGAAAATGAAAAGAGCTTTCGTAGAGGTTGAAGTTGATCGACTTGCATGAATGGTCTCATGATGACTGAATATGCCCGGAGAATGTTGTCAGTTGTCGAATAATTGAGGACCATATAAAAGATACTAGATTCCTATAATGATGACTAGGTAAGATAGGGTGGCCTCGATCATCTTGAAGATGTCGAATTCGAGCCACTTATTGAGATCATCGTCCTAACTGTCGGGATTGTTCTCTTCGTATAAATCACCATCTTCTCATAGGGAAGGAGTTCATCCAAAGTTTCAATAAATTAGAGTAAAATAGGGTGAAGTAGAGTAAAGATGAATCACTCTATATCTTTAGATCAGATATATATAGAACTAGGAAAGCGGCTTATCCTTGATCCAAGGGCTGCTCTCCAGAAACTGTAGTAGCACTCTAGTTCAGTTGCTGAGACTGGTCATCATCCTGGTCGTGCATGTTATACAGGATATCGACAGCTCTCATGGTCTCTGTGGTGCCCTAAGAGGAGCCCGGTGTCGGATTGGTCGCCATGCTGAATTCGCTGATGCAGCAAGACTACTGGGTAGAAAAGGAAAGAAGTAGGATCTGTTTCATAGATTGGGTCGTAATCTCAACTGAAGAAGGCGTTGAGGGAGTCGGAGCTCCAGATCACTGAAAGTAAGGTCCGTCTGATTACCTAGGAAAAGAAGTATGGGCCGTGATGCCTAACCTCACGACAGTCTCTTAGAGTTCTCCGCTGAATAGGCTATTCTTTCTATCTTACAGGCTGTATTCTCTTGGGTGAAAAGCGTAATCTCCTCTTCCAATCTCTTGACTCAGTCGAGCAGATAGTCTACCTTTGAGTCGTTAGAAGATTGGGCTCGTTCAGGATTCAAGCGAAGAGGGGTAGAAAGACCCTGGCTGCTTAGAAACTGGATCATGCCACAGATTCTATGGACTTTATCTTGATCACTTGTTCCTCTCTGCAGAAGCTGGACCAGAACTTCAGGCATCATGTTGGTCATCGTCGACAGTGAGTGGTGATTTCGAGGCGGCTTGGCAGCTGGTATATAGAGCTCCGTATAGTGTGTTCCCATTACAATCCATATTGCCCATGTCATCTCCGTCGGTTTAGTCTTCCGGAGTTCATGTCCACTGGAATTGACGCAGTTTATATATAGAACTTTGTAATAGAGACCCATGACACCAGATAGGCATTTCTCCAGTGGACATATTTCGCATCCTGTGTAGATATGTAGTCAGGGTATCAAGCCCGTAGCAGCAACGACCGGTCTGAATCGGCTCTTCCCTGTGCTCTCCCCGAAGTCCACTCCGGGTCGCTTTGTGCTTGCGACTTGAAGGATCTTGTGGTACCCCCAGATGTATTCTTCGGGCTTGTCAGGGTTGGTACTGAACGTGGCGAATCACTCCGGAAAGTGTCGCATAAGCTGGAACATTGTTGCTGCGTAACTATAGATTCTACGCTTCGTGCATCACTGAGATAAACTCTTCCAGGTGTGGGAGCGCACTTGTCAGAGGCTTCCGCTCGAGCACATTGAGAATGAATTGATCGCCATTGCTGAAGTGGGACAGATAGGTGAACGGAACTGTGACGCTGTAGTCTATATAATAAGGAGGAAAGACTGCTGTGTATACAGTCAACCTGAAGCCGATTCGATGTTGGAGCTCGAGGGTGGTTTGGTAGGAATTGCATACAATTGTTCTGCACGGTAAGCTCGACGAGTCAATACTAGGGCAGCGATATAATCTGAACCTACAGAGATGTCAGTACATACGACCATAGGTAGTGGAAAATACGGGATCCCGTCTGCTCTCCCATAGTCAAGCCACTAACCGGCGGATTAGTAGTTGGGTCGGTGACGACCAGCGAATCCCCGCTGTTGTATGTATTTGCTTTTTTGTCTTTTTGCTGCAATTAGAAACTTGCTGACTATTGCATGTTGATGATGGTGGTGAGAAGGGTAGCTGGGTGGTTCACTGGACATAGTGCTGATTGGCATCAGCACTTGATGGTTAGAGGGACCTATGAACTTGGGCTTAGCGGTGCCTTGCTTCAGCGCAGAGTCATGATGCGCAGCGAGATCCCCTCTGAGGGTGTCCTTACCACCGACGATGTGCTTACACCCTGAAGTGCTGTCGCAAGGATTTCCACTCTGTTATGCGGATGCAGAATACATCTCGCCGAGGAAAAACTATATACCTATGTGCCTCGTCGGTGTTTCGACTGGCGAGATTATAGCTTACAAGCACCTCAAAGGCCGCCATCTCGCATGTATTCTGACCGATTGTTGGTAGGGAGTCCAAAGAGGTGCACCTAGACTTGACCTTCATCCCCACCCACGTCATCATCTAGATCATCAGTGAAGGTGTTTAACAACAGGCCAAAGGCTGCTCACTTCATGATGATCCCGTCGGGTTTTGGTCGGTTGAGAATTTCTTTGCCAAACCAATCTTTGGCTTCTTCTAACACGTCGATATGCTATATCACTCGAGTCAAGTGCGGCTCAGAGTCTCTTTTATACAGTGTCGCCAATGAAGCATAAACTTGTTCAAAAGAACCCCATGGACCATACGAAGTATACCATAAACTCTCCTTTCGGTTCTGGGTCTTGGGGGCATTGGTATGACAGGATGCTTAACAGTATATTAGTGAAACAGAGAGGTAGCAGACTGGGCAGAGATACGGGGGTATCTCGCCAGCCTGACGCATCCCGCTTACACCTTGCATTAGACAGGCGTAATACGTGCAGTTCCCTAAGCAGAAACAATGAGCTGCTTCGCGAGACACACCACATCATCTGATTATCGTTCGGTCCTGTGACACTGAGAGCTCCAGAAAAGAGGCTGGCAGCAATGTTAATCTACCCCCAATTCAAGCGCACACTTGTCTTGTATGCTGGAGCTCCAAAGCCAAACTGCGATCCCCTCCAGCATGCAAAGGAATGTGTCGAGGTTTCCGCATTAAGTTCTCGCCTCGGGCAGCAACATCTTCTTATATAAATGTGGCCATTTTCGATGATATCTGGCCCTCGTTCTCCTCTGCTGTCATCGGAAAGCAAGAGGGAATTGTTGAGTGTATATAATATACTGTGTCGAACAATTTCTAGTACACGTAGAGTAAGTGCGACCTTCATCGGCGGTCTCGTCGATGTCAAGTCTCTGTTCTATCACAAGCGTCCTAAATTAGGATCTTTGATGAATTATATGGTTGTGTGACATCTGTCTTGATTTCTCTCAGGACCCCTGGGATGGGCTTGAGGGCGCATCCCGTCCCCCTTAGTTGCATTCCAAGAACCCCCCATTGTACTGCTTTGGGATTCATTCTGGATACCTTATCGCTGCACTTGTTTCTATCTTCTTTGGATATTGCATATCGCCTAACGACGAAACCTGGCAGCTGTCGTATGTGCTGCATTTCGTCGTTTGCCTCGACCCTGCGGTGCTTGACAATGGAGAAAGCTAGCATATATGAGCTATGTCGACATGCTGGCGGACGCTCAGAGACATTTGCACAAGGTACATAGTCGGAATCTCGACCAAGACGAGCGTCGATGGCTGGCACATTGGTATCTGGTGATAAATTGCGCTTGCATATCGATATTGAGTTAGCCAATACAGCTGGTAGCTTAGATGATGTTTATATATGTCCCAACACCAGTATCGCTGATTGAAGCAAAATACTGGTCCTCAAGATGGTTCGACAGCGACAATGAGAGCCTGTGTATTTCTACCAGCTTCTACCTCGAGGAATCGACAGCCCCCCAGCTCAAGAGGGTGAGCAGTCCACAACCTCAGATGTTGGTCATGGGGATCCTCGGTGAGAGACTCCTGAGTATTCTGAGGAGTTATTCGTTTCAGTGAGTCGACTCCTTCAGATGAAGATTTGCTGGGATCGAGTGCCCGGTATTTCTGCATAGCTCGAACATACGGTAATGCTTCCTCCAAAAGGTTGGTTAAACATATAATCTGGTTAATATTGAGAAGCTTGAGAACACCGACAAGCGTTGATGTCCTCCAGAACAGGCATATGCCCGAAACGATTTGGTTGAAAAGGGGGGGCAGCTGCCAGATGAAGCTGGGCTCGTTATATAAAGGCCGAGCACGTGAGATCCGCGGTAGGTGTACCAAGAGGTTTGTTAAAGGCTTGGGGGATAAGGCTGAGGTTCTGCAACATGGGTAACTTGACATATTAGATCGTTGGAAGCCGAAGACCCCAATCCTGGCGTCCCCCACCAGGAGAATTGTTTACAATTCTCAAACCAGGCGTTTTGAGGCAATGGTTATATGGAATTAGGCGACGAATAGGTAAGGCATCGTCGCTAACGTCGTAGTTGGCCACCTTCATGCACTTAATCCATGGATTGTCTGGGTTTGGCTTAGGAATCACCATCCAGAATACCACTAGGGTATCCTGACTTGGATTCATCGTAAACTTGGTCTGCCAGTACCGGAGATCATAAGAGAAGGTGCATAGGATAGTGTGGCTCCATCTGGAAAGAATATTCTCCTTCTGCGAGGTTTAGGTCGTTGTCCTCCTCGATTCGATCTTGAGCTCATGATCCAGAATGATCCTCTCGTTGACTGGCAGGGATACCAGGGTGAACAAACTTCCCTGAAGAATTTGTTTCGCCGAACTCATTAAGAGAAAGTCTCTCACAAAGTCCCTAGATCATTTTGGCGTCAAGCGCCTGGGCTGTCTTGCCGGCCAAAATGAACAATTGGAAAGAGTTTCGCGCTCCCGGTGAGTACATAAGCTTCCGGTTGGGTATATGACTCTTGTGGGTTGTATAGTTGAGTAAAGTCGAAAAGATTCCTTCTTTTAGAGCTAACATACAACAATTGTCATGAGAATTTGATCTGGGGCAGGAGGAACCGATAAGTCGTGGTTACTCCTGGCTAGGATTAAATTATCATTCTTAGCACTTAGGTATGGAGCTAAGGTGTATCTGCCACGACTAACACCTTTTCTTTTCGGACCTTGATCTTCTTATGCAGTAGCTTAAGTCCTCTTGCAAGCACTGGGGACTCGGCTAACAGCCATTTCAGCATGGGACCACATTCGTTGAGAGGGGTTAGATCCAGATCTTTCTGATACAGGTCCTATATATAGGCTAGGCCACCATCTGCCCGGTTCTCTATTAAGTGGCTAATGTGGTCGACACCAAGTTTACTGAGAGTCGAATGTGATGCTGTGAGTATATATCAAGATTTTATCTTATAGAATGCATTTGCTGGCTGATTGTTTGCGGCTGGAGAAGGTGATCGCGAGCCGAGTGAGCTTGTTGCAACCGGCCGGGAGTTTCACAGCGGGTTGAGGATTGATTTGCTATCGATAATGTATAAACAGCCCGGGATTTTCAGAAGCCATATGTTAAACGGTGAGAGGCTCTTGAAGGCAAGACTCGCGGGATAGATGATAAGGCTATCGGGTGTCCATGGGACGAGAGGCTAACGAACTCACGTCCTGTGCAGCTTTTCTATCTTCGTTGAATGAAGATTCCTAGTTTATGTTTTCTCTTCTGAAGTTTCATGATGATCTTGTGCCTCGAGACCCTGCATGTCTAGGCCAACATTATACTTGTGAAGGTGCTGGGCCAGCTGAAACTCGTCTTTCATTCTCGATTCTCTTTACTTGCTCGGATAGGTGACGTCTGGTGTACCTGACCCATTATTCAAGGAACTTGGCTGTCATCTTCGTTGTCACTGTTATGACCCTTGATCCCAAAGCTGCCAGGCCCGGTGAGTGGAGAGCTCTGTCTCCCATGGCTCATCCTACTCTTCGGGCTCCTTTGTCTCTACCCAGCCGTGGTGAGGCTCATTCTTGAGCTCTACTGCTTCTGGAGAAGTCAGACTCTGGTGTTGAATTGCGGATTTGGTCCGGATGGTCGATGATTCCGTCATGCTCAACATGGGCCCGCAGTCGGGTACCTTTGCGAATGCGGCGTGGTGGGTTACTTGGGTTCTAGCTTGCCTTCTCTGCGGCGCTATCATTCTGCTTCCTCCGTCGGATCAGTGCAGGGGTTGTCCATCTATGTCCGTTTGAACTCTATTCATTGTTGAGCTGATATGTCTCCTTGAGGTCAACGACGACCTCTTTGAACGCGTCCTCCATCGCATCGAGGACGGGGAAAACGCCTGGCTCAGTATCTCCGTCTTTCATTTTCTCCAATATTGTCTGGAATTTCTGCCATGACTAGTATGTTAGTGGCCTTAACCATCAAACACCCATCGGATCTACTTGTGAGTTAACTCTAAGCGCTTAGAGTATCTCACTAGGTAGCTTCACAACTTCGAAGGGATAAGCCGGGATGAGTAGCTTGCCGATATCTTCATCTGTCTTCCCTTTCCAGTTGAACTTCACCCATTTATCATCCTGCTGCTGGAAGCGGAATTTGGGCTGCCTGCCGTAACTGACATCATTGAAGAAATGCCTGTCAGCCTTGTTGAGGATCGCCGTGCGAGGCTGGTCCATCAAGTCGATGAAATTCTTTGAGCTAAGGTGCGTTGACCTTATGTACGAGTTTTGCGGATGATTTCTATATGACGCCGCCTCTCTATATACATAGTATAAAGACAAGCAGACCAGCGCTGTAGGTTCGGTTCAGGATCTACCAAGTCTTACTTTTATGGATTGACCGGGTTACCTGCCTTGTCCCGGTGTACGCAGAGCTCATCGAACTTAGCTAGCGAAAGCTTGGTCTGTCGCATGGCAGGGCTTGAGAGTCGCCTTGGTCTCTTCCTGGTGGCTGTTTTCGTTGAATGATGAGATCTAGTGGACTATATATAATTGTAACGCTGAAGCATCGAAGTGCTGTCGCTTGTAATAGGTTGCGAAATGGTCGGGATGTTTTGACTATAGCTTGTCACGACATCAAGACTCGTTCTTGTGTGTTTGCAGTTGTTATTTGCTGATTTGTCCATCATATAGCATAGATGTATATTCTCGGTGCATCCAAAGGTTGTCCTGGACAACACTTTGGTTAATAGCTGTGATAAAGGCGTCGTCGTTATGAAAGCTACCATGGGCATTAGTACGCGGGGTGCTCGAAGCGGAGCGGATATACTCACCTGTAACAAGGCGCAAAGGGGCCACCTTGACTTCCGTCGACAAGCTCCTTCATCTCCCAAACCGATTTCAATTATCTTTGCGTTGTTTTGAATTCTAGCTGTAGTGATTTTGCTGAGAAACAGCGAGAGGTAGCGTAATATTTATATGATCACGTTAAACTGTCCAAATGCTACCGTTTGTGGTCTCTCTCATGGGGCGATTTCGGTTCTGGAAGATCTGTGTTGTATAGTTTCATTCTATTGGGTCTGTTCCTCGGTCCCTTCCTCGTCATTGAGGAGCTGATAGTTGACGTCGAGGCTATGAAGGAGTTTGTGTCAGGGGTCTCGGGCCCCTCCCTTGCTCCCAGCGTACAAGTCTGTTACGCTTGCTTCTTGGTAGTTTGAGATCTCCTGTCGTACCTAACGTTAGGTTATCAGCTGTCAGCACTGGAGAATCTTTCTTGGTCGAGATATCCATACTTGACTTTTGCTCGCAGCCAGTAAATATGTTACTCTAGTTGGTTTACTCACGCATACAGAACCGGTTGTCACCAATATTCCTTGGTAGTCATGGTACATACTCTTCCAAATCCTTAACATTCTCTTTGCAGTAGCTCCCTTGGGTCATTAAGATGACAAAGGAACCATCTCTGCTAAATGATGAGAGTTAGTTGATTATATTGATCACGTTAACCTTCAGGATGTTGTGTCGTTATTTCTATCACAGCGTGTTTCCGCATTCGAAGGCTTGTTGTGTCCGCAAAGGTTTGCATTTGTTGAAAATTTAAGGTAGTTTATCTACTGTTGCTGGTTGTCCGGGGTCTCTTCGTCTCTTGGGAGCTGGTACGTGACCTCGAGGCTGTGGAGGAGTGTGTCAGGGGTCTTGGGCCCCTCCTCCACAGCCTCGCTCCCAGCATCCAAGCCGGGAACGATCCCAGCTCGGAGCTGGGACAGCTCCAACCTTATCTGACTTGAAAACTAATCGTTAGAATTCCAGTAGATAAAGTCAGCTATCAGGGATGCCTTGCTTGACTAGCGTGGCGAGACCTTGAGTCTGCCGTCTCAGGCCTTGGATCTCAGCATTTTGGTCTTGTAATAGATATAGCATCTAGAAAATTAATCAGCAATGAACTTTTACCAAACTCAATAAATATTTACCATCTGAATAAGGCGAATCAGCATCGCAATATTCATTTGTTCGACTGGTATCGCGTCCATGACGGCGATCCCCTGTACTGCGCGATTTGTGAAGTTGGCGAGTTGGTTGTAAAGGGCAAGCTCATGTTGGAACTCTTTGGATTTATATATTCCGGATCCTTCTCTGTAACTCCACTGGTATGTCAATAGAGCATGTTGAATCATTGTTGTTGAGTCTGCCACTTCTGACAGTCATTAGCACTGTCAGCCTATTCTCGACAAGCACCAACGCTGTGTCCCATATAAGTTTCAACAGTTCTTTTGAACTAACATATAACTCTGTTTTGTCTCCCAGTGTCAATCAATTTAATGTTTATTTTCTGTAATGTGTTTCTGTAATAAATATCTCGAAGACCAAGATGATCCCAGGCAGACGACAAGGCAGATAGGTATTTCGACTGGTAAATTTCGATCAGCCAGGGACATAGACGGCAGAATCTAGTCTCAGTAGTATTTACTGCGCTCTCTAATATTGCAAGTTAGCCAAATTCTGAAGCATTATGTATTCTTTAGAGTCATGTAGTACTGTCGACAGATTCATGTATATAAAAGGGGTTATCTATTTAAGTGCGCTGGGAGGGTTTGTTTCTTACCTTTTAGTGTTAGAAGATCTTACCGGGTTATCTTATGATGCCTTCTAGCTGCTTGTTGCTTCTTGTCAAGCTGTTTCGTCAGCCATGATGTAAAGGCCTTGCCATAAGTACCAATGTTAGTACTTGAAAGACATCAACTTACAAATTCCTCATGTAAGTGTATTGGGCTGAACACTATAGAAGCTGGACTTGACTTGGAAGCCAACTTGGAACAAAAGACAACATACTGGACTGCAGCATGCTCGAATCTGAGCTTTTGTGTTTCCCCTGAGTCAACAATGATCTGGTTGGGAGATACCAGGTCCATATGTGAGTCTAGGTCTCCAAAGGCGTTGCAGAAGCAAATATGACCAGAATGTAAAGATGCAAGTTGGAGTGGTCGATTGAGAAGGGGGAGAACTAGGCTTCTTATACTTGTTCCTGGCTAACATAATAAACTGATGCATGAAAGTGAGAGGTAGCAAAGAAACAGTCATCTGTATTTCAGCAGTTGGATGTGTTTCCTTTCAATTGTTGCCAAACCCACAAGTTATACACTTCTTGCAAATACAGTTGGGCTCGTTCTTGCTAGCAATCAGGCAAAGTCAATTGTGCGCCACGTGCAAGCTGGTTGAGTTTTCACTTGAATTGGTCCAGTCACATATTTAGTAACAAACTATTGCTAGGAAACTCTGCTGATATATCTACAAATACAAAGCAAAACAAGTGGTTTGTCCTTTACATGCTCATTCATGAAGCGGGTCTGTACATGCAAGTAAACACAATGACGTTAGCGGGGTAAAGTACCTCGGCCTCTGACACCAACATCAACATCACGACATTCTTGTCTTGGGCCTTTCAAACCTCGGATCGTTCACTTGTTTTCGCCAAATTTTCGCGTTGCACGGATAGAATCATTGAGCCAAATACAACTGTCTGAAGTGAAACTTACCATGGCCCCATCACTTCTTCTCCTACCGTCTCCTCCCCGCCCTCCCTCCGCATCAACACTCTCAGCTGCCTATCGCTCACCATTAACATCCGTCCTCACCAAACTCAAACAGTCACCAACTCCCCAAACTCTCATAGTTGGCCTCGCACTGCCTCTTCTCAGCGGCTCATCTCCCAACTCAAAGAGGATCGCCTGGACAAATGCCCAGTACCTCCTTGCTGGCCTCTACACTCTTACATCCGTCATCTGCGCCAAGGAGAACATTCCCGTTGACGTCGGTGCTGGAAAGGGGAGTGTAGATGTGCGCATTGTTCTGATCGACCATGAGAAGGGAAGACGCTACGAACCAGATTTTGATGGAGGGTTTGAAGCGAATTGTACAGCTGTGTTGGACTTAGCTACGTTTGCAACAAAGGTTCGACAATGGGAAGCGGTTTACCATCCAAGTTGTGAAGAGGGTTACGAGTTGCTCTCTTCTTTTCTCAAACTTGCAGAGAAGAAGCAAACGTTTACGCAGAGCCAACTCGTGGCTATCGAAGGTGGAATCAGCTTGACGGCGGAATCGAGTTTGTCGCCAAAGGAAGAGCAGAAGGGCTTTAACACGGTTTGTCTAGGCGGCACGTTTGATCATCTTCACCCAGGTCACAAGTTGTTGCTTCACGCAAGTGTGCTTCTTCTCAACATACCGCCAAAAGACTCTGACAAGAAATGCACTCTCGTTGTGGGCATATCGAGCGACGAGCTCCTCGTCAAGAAGAAATACGCTGAAGAGCTTCAATCATGGGATGAGCGCTCTCAGACTGTTCTCTCATTCCTCTCCACGCTTCTCGACTACGACACAACATCTACATCACCACCAATAGAGCGTACAACTGACGAATCAATTGCCACTCTCCGCGACGGAAGAGTCAAGGTGCGATGTATCATACTTCGCGATCCGTTTGGTCCACCAATTCACGAGGAGGATGCCGACGCAATTGTTGTTTCTGCAGAGACTCGCAGTGGAGGCAAAGCAATCAATGATCGTAGGGTTGAGAAAGGATGGAAGCCGCTCGAAGTGTTTGAGATCGATGTTCTAGACGCTGACGAGGTTGGTGATGGTGAAGTGAGTAAGACAAATGATTTTGCGACAAAGATTAGTAGCACTGCGATTCGACAACAGAGGGCTGAAGCAAAGAGACGGTGATATCAGGACAAATCATCAGAGATTAATTATGACAACCCGAAACACCACGTTTTCTTGCATTACGTATCAAATTTGATGCCTTTGGGGATGCCTTTCTTGGTGGTGAATGAATTGGGTGTAAGTGTTTTGCGTCGGAGCCTTCACTGTGACCTGTAGGGCTAGACAATCGCCACAGTGGCATCAGCAAGCAACAACACCGCATGAGTCATATCACTCAAAGCATCAAATAGAAGACAAAGTTGTTGATAGAAACCACAACATGTTTGGTAGATTGTAGTCATCACGAGATATGTCTACCGTGTTCCAGCAGGCACCAGATGCACCGTGCAGACAAACAGTGCTAACAAGCGCAAACACTATGCGCTGATATCATGCTTCGTTTCTTTTTGTGGCTGCCCCTCCATCATCATTGCCCCACGTTCAAGTTTTTGCCCAACTTTACCTTCAACTTCAAACCCATACACAACCACCGAGCAAATCCTGACGAACAAACCCACACTTCACCATGGATCCCCTCGACAACATGGCCGGCGCCCCCGTGCCCAAGAACTTCGACGCCGAGAACGCCCAGAACAACGAAGACGTACGCACCCTACCCCGCGAACGATCTGAAACAACCCTCCATTCAGAAACTAACAACCTTCCCAGATCGAGAAGCAATTCGCCGTCAAGGTCGTCCAGCACATGCAGACCTACTGGTCCATCCTCGAGCGCGTCAAGGGCTCATCCCTCCGCCTGACAAAGATCGACGACGAGATCATGGAGCACCTCAAGACCGACTTCCCCGAGTTCGACCCCGCCGCCAAGGTCGACGAGGACGAGATGAAGAGCAAGGCCGGCAAGGAGCGCTGGCGAAAGTTCATGATGGCGTATGAGAAGAAGGTCGACGATTATAACTTTGGTACCATGGTGCGCGATAGACCCGACGTTGAGTATGAGGAGGATACCACGATTTTCGTGCCTCGTATGCAGTTTTACGCTCTTGAGATTGCACGGTAAGTTTCCAATGTGCTGGGATGATGGAGATTGAAGCTAATAAGAATAGGAACCGTGCTGGTCTGAATGACTGGATCTATGAGCAGGCTCAGGCTCAGAAGAACAAGTCCAAGTAATCAAGGACATGAGAACGAAAATTAAACAACAACAGCTCTTCGAAGTGAGCCATGCGTCCACGGCGTCGGGCTTCGAGCCCACATGAACCCTTGCAGGACAGGGAACAGCCTGAGAGGACTTTCTGGGCGAGGGCGATGCAAGACGCCAATGATCTATGCAAATCATGATGACGAACGTACGATCTGAGAATCGAATCCGATGGTTTTTCGCGTACTGGAATATTCCTTGATACCCTTAGAAATACATGGCATCAAAGTTTGGCTCCATCTTTAATTTTTCCAAGTGCTCACCTTAGGGTAGGCAACTTGGAATTGAAAAGTTGACAGTATACCTGAATGGTCTAGAATATTATTATGAAGTGAATGAAATTTGATGTCTATATTACTCAAGATTTAGCGATAGTGCAAATACATAAGAAAGGAAGGTAGGTTTGTTGGCAAATGCAGAGTATGCATGACTCGATATCTACACAATCCCTGAATGCAACTTACTCTTTTCACACCATTATTCCGCAGTTCAAGAATATTTTAGCCATGTATCAGTGTATTAAAGCCAGAGTTTCTGCCACAAGCATTGAAATTGACTGCAATGAGAATCGTCTCATTTCCATTCTCCGGAGAACATTACACCTTGAGAAATTCATCAATGTCCACCCTCTGAAAGTAGTTTATGTGTCCAAACCCGACCCAGTGCTGCGCAAGCCGATCGTGACTGACGAAGATAAGCTGGCTCTCAATGTACCGGTCTGCTTTCGTCAGTTCAAGTTCACTTCGAGGCCTGAACCAAGTGAGACAAGGGACTCATTTATGAATTCTTACCTGAGGCGAATCCTGTATTTGCAATATGTCCTTTGCTGTGAACAGCTCTCATCCCCTGGAAGCAAGTATCGACCGGGGGACCATCTACGACTCCATCAGGCCCAATGTCATCAGCTACAAATGTGATTTCACCCCGCGGAACGTTGGGATCACCAGTCAACTTAATAGCCTCCAGCCGTCCCTGAAACGTCCGCCCTTCAGTCCGTCTCACTTCCCACGCTTCATCACTCTCGGAATCTCGTCTTACAAGACCGAGTTCTTCATCCGTCGCGCTCGTCTCATCGTCAGGTTGGTGCACAAGCAAGAACTCGCAACCATGGGTACTGTAATCGCCAACCCAAATTCCCCTCCACGGCTTCAACACAGTCGGCGTGTATAACTTCGGATCGAGGGTGGAGTACGTGATGAGCTCCTCGCCGACGTGAACGTTGGGTATTCCGCCGTCGACTGCGGTGCGTGATAATCTTAGCATATTGTATATCCCACCCAAACCAGCTGCCATACCGATTCGGGATAAACCGCCCGCCATTTCCATCCATTGGCGGATACGGAAAAACCGCTCTGATACTTCTTCGCGGCGCTGAGGCCGGGATGATGGTGTTTTCACGAAGATGCCCTCTGGTGTTACTTGCGTGCTGCTACCCGAGACGTGGTGGTCTGAAGGGATATGAGGCGGTGGCCAGATATTGCCGTATGGGAAAGTCGAGTTGAGGCTTTGCTGGGCTTCTTCTTGACCGAGCTCGCATGTTAACATGAAATTGCTAAACAGGGCATCGATTCTGTCATCAAGAGTCACGGGCATCTCATCAGCGAAGCGATTGGCACCAGGTCGACTCAGAAAATCCTCTGGCGCCAGTTCTCCCACGCGAAACTGCAGCACAGGCTTATCAAGATGAAGTTTGACTTTGGGATCAAATTCATTGATCAAAACGTCGCCTTGTCCGAGGAAACTTTGCTGTATTTGCCGGTCTCTGCTCGCGAGCAGTTGATAACCCTCGATGCAACCCCGCCGAGGATCATAGCGAACGATCATGAGTCTTCCGGTGAGATCTCTATCACAGAACCAGATTTTCTGCCTGGGGAGGAACCAAAGACGGTCGTGAGCGACGTAAAGCTCATGATAGCTGTCGCAGGGCCGGGGACTTGTGAGAGTGACGCCTGGGACGTTTTCTTGAACGAGAGGGTACCAGAGGACATCTGAGAGAGCGTGCTTATGCAGATCTCGACATGTAGCGGATATGGCGGAGAGGTCGTAGGGTGAAAGATGAGAAAGAATGTTGTCAATGAGTTCAGGAGGGAGATTTAGAAGAAGAGGAGGACCCGGGTATGGATCTGATGATGGCTCAGACAGTGGCGACTGGGGTTCACTGTAGGACATGTTGTGGCGGCTTCTGAGAAGTCAAGTTAAAGATGGCTGTTCCTATCTCATGAGTTTAATCAGATAAAATGCTGGATATACCTTGTTTTATCAGATCCGGGTCCAAAGCAGGGGTGGCGAGCTGATGAGTCGAGGGTGGATGGTCTAGAGGGTCTGGACTTGCAGCTTCAGCGGTGATGATGATGGGGGAAGTCGAGTTAATGCAGCTAAGCGGAGTTCAGCCGCAGGCGATGCCGACTCTAGAACGGAACAACTCGATTCTGATCAGGTCATGAGAGAGACAAATACGAGTTAACACTTTCGGCCACGAAGGAGTTGGGAGAGTACGTTTTTGTGTAATGGCTTTTGTTGTATCGGGATATTTCGTTGACGACATTGCCCTGCCATAGATAGATTCATACGGGAAGTGGGGAGATGATCAATCACTCGCCGACGTGCGGAGTATTCATTCACCAACTCACACAGCAGCAAGCAAGTCACAATAGAATTTAAGAAAGAATAGTAAATAGAATAAATATTATTCCAATATCTAAGATCAGTCACACTTGTTCAAACCCCCATGCCCATCAACATGCATTATCAATCTCCATCCCCGTTAAGGACTCTTGCGCCACTAGCTCCGGTGGCTGGGCCGCTTGAGGCCTAACGCCTGCACTGTCGCTGTCCTCACTCTCCCCCCAGGTTCGAAACACCAAATCTACCCCCAAATCATCAGGTCACGCGCTTCTCTCTCATCGCTCAATAGTGTATCATTCAAAATCTCATTCATTGGACCTCAGAGTCTCTTGTGTTACTGGCAGACTTGTTCTCTTAGCCAATTATCATTCTAGCGACGTCATCTCCCGCTGGGAATACCTTCGTCTTTCGCCGCCCACGTCACGTCGCTTTGCTCTCCTATACATCTTTATCTCTTTGTGACTTATCATTTGATACTACCGCGTATCTCTTTTTGAATATTGTGTGAACATATCCAAGCTCGCCGATGATGAGCTCGCTATTACCGCTTATCTCGGAAATCCTTCCGATGATAATGCCCGCCTCTGCCAACATCACCCGCGCCAAACAGCTGGAACCAACTCATCCTACTGTCGAGGGCCCTGTTATTGAACGCCCTGCTGTTGTTGGAAAATGCGACAACATGTGCGTAACTGGTAGGTCAATTTGTCTTAGATCTATGTCTCAACCTTATCACTCACACATCAGTTCTCACAACGCGACCTCATTCCAAGTCCACAGTTCGACATAACAGTGAACAAGGTAACCTCCTTTAAATCCATCTACTGTGGATAGACGCTGATGCTGAGTTTCTAGACACCATCATATACGCCGTCTCAGGAAATGGCGTTCTTATCGTGAATGAGGCTGTCAACTCTGAATTGAAACACCATGATCTTGCACCCGGAGACTTTGCCTTTGTCCCCGCCTGGATCGAACATCAGGTCAAGAATGACACAGACCAAGATGTCCAATGGCTCATGATCCAAAGCGGCTCAACTCCCATCCGCGCAGACTTAACAGAATGGGGTGGCGATGTGATCCAGACAAAGAATTGAAGCATATGAGGACGCAGTTTCATCATTCTATCGATCTATTTCACCGGCTATTCCTGAGATACCATCCACTAACTTGCGCATCTCGATCTAACCATCTGAATCACCGACTCTCTACTCACACGGTCGTCAAACACCTGCGCATGGTCCAGTTTCGGAAACATGACTACTTCAACGCCATTGTGCGATTCAGCTACCATGCCATTACGACCGGAACTAAGATCAACGCCCAGATATTCTGCAACTGCTGTAGTGTCGACTATGAGGTCGCGGCCAGACAGTGTAACAGCAACGTGCCTTGCCTGATGACCGTCACTTTGAGTCCCCAAGAGATCTTCTTTCCAAAGGATATTCTCACGCCAAAAGAAATGCCTGCCCAAACAGAGCGCAACTCCTGGGTCGGTACTAGCGAAATACCACAGTTGCCATTCATTTGCCCTCCTAGGCTTTCGTCGAGTAAAGTTGTACGCTACATCAGGAAGATGTAGCATGATGGTCACAGGGTCGATGAGAACAACCGAGGGCACACGATGCTGGAAGCTTGGTTCGTGGAGCATGTGGGTTGTCAGAACGGAGCCGTAGGAGTGTGATACCAGGGCAAATTTGTGCCAGCAGTGGTGTTCCAGGATGGATGTCATATGAGCCAGGAACTCGGCCTTGTCGAGGATAGCTGGGGTGAGGCGGAATGAGATGGGTAATATCTCAAGGGCGATGATACCAACACTTCCGTTTCCGTCACCAGTCTTGTGAAGACCTGCCAGAAAACGAACATATGTCCATAATCCTATTCCGATACCGTGGAAGAAGACGACGGGAAGCTTGTCTTGTGCTGTATGAGGTCGGTGCCAGTAACTCAGTCGCGTGGACGGAGATTTGGGTCCAGGAAACAGCTCTTGGGGCCGTGGGGGAAATACACGAAGTGCAGATGAGCGAGGCCGGCGATGGAAGTCGAATCCGTGCCAGCGAAAGGCAAGGTGTGTAGCCTGGTCAAGGAAGAAGACGATAATATACCAAACAAGACTTCGATACGTTGTCGTGATACCATCAATCGTGAGACGAAGACTCTTGACGTGGCCCCGTCCTTCCTCGAATTTTCGACCGAGTCGTTGTTCAACAAGGCTCAGATAGTGCTCAACTTCCTCCTCGACCGCCTCTTCATCATCCACGAACCCTGAACCATCCCCCCTCTCGAAGAAAGCCCATAATATGAACTCTCTCACATTCTCCCTCCGAATCTCCTTGGGATCCGCATCAAGGAACCACCATCTCAGATAAATCTCCAAAGACGGCACATTTCCGAAACATCGCTCAAAAAGGGCATTTCGGTCTTGGCGCGATAGTGCTGGTGGATGGGCTGCATCCCGTTTGAGCCGCTGGAGGTATGGCCTATATATAAATAGATAGAACACCACTTCCGCCAACAACGCTGCTAGCAGAACACACACAAATGGAAAGACGACAGATACAGGTTGTATGAGAGGGAGGAATAAGATGAGAAAGATGTAAATTAGAGGCGTGTAGCGAAAGAAGGCGATGGATAAACGGATAAAGACCCATTCACCGAATGACGTGCCGATCATGGTGATATGACACTGGCCGGTCCAAACCGGGCGATATGTTTTGAAACAAGAAGTTGGGGGTTCTCATGGGAGTAGATTGGAGTTTGGAAAAGAGTAAAAGATCGGTGACGTGTCTGTTGAACACATTCTTCTGTTGGGGACGATTGTGGGAGGATGAGCATCGGCTGGAGCAGTACAAGGGTCGCAAACACGGAAGGATTGTGGCTTGAACTGTGGCTCGTGTGAGCGTCAATGAACTGAGGACTCACAAGTGGGGCCAGGCCAGTGTCATGCAGCGGTCTACTCCACTGATGGTGGGGCGGATCGTCAGTGGAGGCTTCGGCGGCCCGTACCAAGACTTGACCCCACGATCTACAACAACTTCATATCGACATCAGAACAAAGGGCAATTCGTATACCAAACAGCAAACTCGTTCATCAAGTCAATTCTCCTTTCTAATTATATCCAGGCATTCTATATCAAGGCTGTTCTGTTGTGCACCCTATTAATAATTCCAAATAACGTGAGTATCACTTGTAACGTCGCACATCAACGTCTCAAGATAACAGGCTGGGGACTGTGTTTTTCGGATGTATGCAAGGGCCGTGGATCTTTGTGCTACATGTGCAGCCTATGTGGAGTCTATCGCAGCGATGAGATGGGTGATTACTGGTACCGCCAGGTGCCAGGGAGAGTCGCATACAAGCAGTCGATTTCCTGTCCTAGGAGCACATGTGGTATGACAACACGACACGACACGACACCACAGAGCTTAGCCGCAGAATTCGTATCTACTTCTGTCAAGCTCTCAATGCGGGTATGCTGTGTCCAGATAACAAGTCTCAAGAAGGAAACACAGGCAACATTCCAAATATGCAGGCAGGCAAAAACAAGGGATATTATCCAGTTGTATCCCTTAGAGTTGTCCCCCAACTTTCTGAGCTCGAGTGACTGTTACCCATGTTCTCACGACAGATATCCGGGTTACACGCTAAGCTTAAGGAGTATCCACTTGCTTCGGATTTCACAGAGCATGGGTACTGGTTCTCTACCTCCTCATCTCACTCCCCCGCCAACGTTTGTAAGTACCCAGCAAGTACTGAGACAGGGGGGAGCTGTCAGGCACCCAATTGATCCAACCACACTTTCACAACCGGACGATGCGAACCATCAAATCCGCAGCCTCGCTCCCTCCGCTCTTTTCCACTTCTGAGAACTAGGCCAGTTGGTATCACGCAAGTTCGGGGACTCAGTTACGCGTTCTCCCAAAAATACAGGATCTCGGATCCTGCTGTAAATATGCACAATCTGAGTTACATGAAATACCACACGCAACGTTGCGAGGCTTACGAAGCCAGGAGGGAATGCATCTCTTCAATTCCTATAGATAATTACTGCCGTAGCATCTTCAGCCTTGCCGATAATGCACAACCCACGTATGCAGGTAGCTTGCTCAAGTGATCCGCATATTGAAGCATCATAGATAAGTATCCTTCGCCAATATCATCGAGCATCTGCACACACCCCGAAACATGCGGATGATTGCAGAAGCAAATCGCCGTTGCACATGCAACCGCACCCACGCCAAGGGCATATACCATAAGTGCGTTGGTACTCACTGTGACTAGGATTCATCCAAGTCTGTACGACCAGCGTTGTGATAGATAGATACGGGGTTGACAATCCGAAATGGTTTACCGGACTTACTTATTAGGTATACAAATGAAAGAAGAGGAAAGAGGAAACATAAACAACTTCAAGTTTAGTAAAACATCATAATCTCATCGGGTGACCCGAATGACTCTGTAAAGAGTCGAGTCACACACAAAGCTTCCGGTAGTCAGTTGCCAACCTCGTTCTGGTGTTTCCAAAATCAGGCTGATGGATTTCGATGAAGTGACCTTCAGTTCCTTAAACCGATATATAGTCGCGATACTGGCTGATATTGTCATTCTCAAGGCCTAATATTTAGAATAACACTTGATGGCTTTTGCACTATAGGTTAAATTTAATATACGATAGCAGTAATTTAATAAGAGTGCTAGAGCGCTTACTTCGACCCTGGAGCGAAGATGGATATGCCCCTGACTTTGTCATCGATGCCATCGACAACATCGAGCCTTATTATCTTCAGGTATCTAATATGACACAATGGGTGATCGTGCATCCAGGAGGAGCAAATCCGTTGTCGTAGTCGACGTATATGAGGTGCGAGGAGTAGAAAGACGATAATAGTTCATGTGCTTAAGCGTGGGGGGTAGGATAGGCTAGGAGTGAGGTTGTGAGAGGTTGTGAATAATGCAATGTGATTGGACGATGCGGGGGGGAGTAGGAGTGCCGTTCCCTGGGCCTCCCATATATAGTCCTCCTCCCCCCTCGACCATTTTCTCTCATTCTCCCCCTTTCGTATCACTTCACTCTTCTCATCAAAACCCCATCAAAAAAAACTTCCCAATCGTCTTTCCATTCCACTGCATCACTTGATAGCGTTCAAAGACCCCTTAAGTCCAAGTAGGACAACATTGCATCCACACCTGTCCTACATTGCTGCTCCTCTCACTTGATCTCCATATATCCTATCACACTTGTGAACGTCCCCTTCCGCTTGCCATGGCAATCAACCCTTTCCTCAATAAAGATGGGATGACTTCTCATCGTTCCTCCCACATTCCTCCCTTGTCGTCCTCGGCCCCAGAGTTTACACAAAGCAGTGTCCTGCTGTCGTCCCAGAGCCGGTTCACTGAAAAGAAACTCCATTCAAAGAAGCGCAGGTCCCAAGACGATCCCGCTGCTGGTAGTGCCGCCTCCAGATCTCGCCGCTTGGCTGACATCCCTCGCCGTGTTGAGCGGATCAAGGAAGCGGATGCTTGGCTGCGGAATGAAATTCCCAGAACACCTGGCCCATTCCAGCTGCCAGACTCAGATCAATGCTCAACCAGAGCCCAGGTGTCCTCACCTGGCCTGGAGCCAGAATATGAGCTCTATCAGGCGACTCCGCTCGAGCCATATGGTGTCTCACTTGAGGCGGCCATTGATAACTGGCGAGATAGCCGACAATCGTCCCATCTCGCTCCTGACGGAGGCTTTGCTTACGCGGGGTCCTGGTGCTACACAGCACCCGTGGAACCTAGTCACATGGAGCTAGAGTGGCACATCTCTGAGCGAGTCGTCCTCGCAGATGACTGGCGCCCCGAGACACCCAGGGATACTCGCCTCTCCACGCCAGACCTGCCTCCACTGTCGACAGACTTTGAGTTTTGTCCATGCCATCGCTCAGGCGAACATGAGCAAGACAGGATAAACCAAGAGTTCTACTTGGCGACAAGATCCAAGATGGACGTGCAGAGTATGTTCATACTTACATGGTCAAGAGGCCTCCTTCTCTTGCTGATGAATGTAGTGATAAATGCGCTGGCGCACATCGCACAGGACCAAACAGCATC